ACCTGAGCTGAAGGCGGAGGCTTAACCCATTGAACAATCCAGGTGCTCCATCAGATTTATTGTTTTAAACAATAGTGAAGTTTACATCCTTTCAGAGAGTGTCAGATACCATCCAGTACCCAGGTCCCTCAGTTTAGGCCGCATACTACATTCTGTTCTCACCATATATAGCCACATGAATCTCCTGCTACTTCCAACTACAAACTCTCAGTTCTTGTGAATTTAGTTTCTGGTATGTGGTGCTTGTGGGCTCTGAAGTCTGAGTCTGACAGACCTGAGTTAGGGTTCTGACTCAGCCACTCACCAACAGTGTAAGAGCTTTTTGAACCTCGGCACTTCATATTTAAGTGGAGACAGGATTAATGAGAGTTTGAATTATATGTAATGAATGCAATGTTTGACATACAGTTGGCACTAAATAAATGTTTTCCAGTCATCCCCCCATGTTTTTGCTCATGCTGAGACATGTTTCTGGGGTATGCTTCTCTTGACCTCCACCTCCCAATATTTTACCTATTCTTCTGGCCTAGTTCTACCCAGACTTCTTTACAAAGGTGTACAGAGAACAGAGAGCCTAGCATGCATCTTATTCAGGTTGGGTTCTTATAGTATCATTTCAATATTTTAGATCTTGTTACCTAACAAATGACACTTAAAAATAGCCTAATTATTATGCGAGTCATATCATTAGGGATTAATGCAAATTGGTTTAGTAAATAGAGCAATAATTGGTCTCTCAGCCTCTGGTATCTTATACCATTGAATATTTTAATATCATTGGGGCAAAGGAGTGAAAGTGGTCAAAAGGGGCAAACCTGGGAGTTATAAGTAAATTCTTGGGATCTAAAGCATAGCATGGTGATTATAGTAAATACTTTATTGTATATTTGAAAGTTGTAAAGAGCAAATTGAGAAAGTTCTCATCACACACATAAATTACAACTGAGGTAATGCGTGTTAACTAACTTGTAATCATTTTGAAATATATACATATATCAAATCATTATGCTGCACACCTTAAACTAGTACAATGTAGGTCAATAGAACTGGAAAAATTTTTAAAAATTAAAAAAAATACATATATATCATTGGAATATATAATTCCTCATTAACTCAATATATACATCTCCCCAATTCTAAGAAGTATTTTAGCCCCACATTTTAATGTATCTGAAACTGGGATATGTCTTTCTTAAGAAAGAGACCTTGGCCAAATGGCAGTCATGATATTGTTGGCATTGGCTCTGTATTTGTGAAAATGGTCATAACTGTTCTAATTGTCATCATTTCACTGAGTTTTATGCAATTTAATACTATACACATCAAAGTCATATGATAATAGATGCTACTGAAGGCAAAAGAAATTGCCAAGTGTGTTAGATTAGGTGAAAAAAAATTCTAAAGCAACAAGAGGCTGATATAAGCATCTGATGTATTATACAGGACTGTAGTTAAGGCATGGAATTTAATCTGTCAGAAACTTCTTTGTGGCCATTAACAGAGAAGCTGCAGAGTTTATGGTGGCATAGGATTCAGCTGAAAAAGAAAACTATGCTTTTGATCAAATAGGATAGCACCAGCATCAAACTTGCTGAATGATTGTCAGTGGCTAGGAAGCAAATTCCAGAGATCAGACTAAGGTATTTTAAGAAATGCTGTCCTATCAATGATATTGTGCAGGAAAACAAACATACGGATTCTTTGTGTGAAAAGGGATTCAGAAGAGTTAGATTTAGTGTACAGAATTTTTAGAAATTCTTTACTCAGTTTATTTTGCTTATATTTCCCTTTGCCCTATATGTACATTACTGTAAAAAAAAAATCTGTGTCTAAGTCTAAAAGCACTCTTTAAATAAGTAGAAAACAAAAATCCTATATGACAACATGTGTCATAGTTTAATTGGCAACTCTTTCTTGGTGGCACATACGATTGATGATGGCTTCAATTTGGATATGATAAAGTGAATGGAGTCTAAACTATGCAGTATGTCTGTGAATTTCTAGACTTCCCCTAGTGAAGGAAGGAGTTTGGTGTCTTGCTGTTCTTGTTTTGGTGGATATGATGTAGTTGCCTAGGAATGAGGTAGGAAGATCCTGTGATTTCCTTGACAGTCTTCTACTACACTTGTTTGCAGACCCAACATAGGTTGAAGAGATTATCACCATTTATAACGTTTTAACATAAGTCACAGATTGCATTCTGAATCAGGTAACACTTCATTTATCATTAGTTAAGCATTTTTAAATTATACTTTTCCAGTATAAAAGTATTATGTTAGTATGGAAAACATTCTGTGTTAATAAGTGGGTATGTATGAGTATGTAATTAGCTGCATTTCTTCTTTAAATTTCTTAAAATTTTTTAAATTTAATTTTTTTAAACAATTTTATTTGACAGGAGACAGCGAGAGAGGAAATAGAAGCAGGGAGAGTGGGAGAGGGAGACGCAGTCTTCCTGCTGTGTAGGGAGCCTAATGCTGGGCTTGATTCCAAGACCCTGGGATCATGACCTCAGCCAAAGGCAGATGCTTAATGACGGAGCCACACAGGTACCCCTAAATTTCTTAAAATCTTTAAAAAAATTCTGGGGGAGGGGAGCACCTGGGTAGCTCAGTGGGTTAAAACCTCTGCCTTCAGCTCAGGTCATGATCCCGGAGTCCTGGGATCAAGCCCCTGAATAGGGCTCTCTGCTCAGCGGGGAGCCTGCTTCCCTTCCTCTCTCTGTCTGCCTCTCTGCCTACTTGTGATCTCTGTCAAATAAATAAATAAAATCTTAAAAAAAAAATTCTTGGGGCGCCTGGGTGGCTCAGTGGGTTAAGCCTCTGCCTTTTGCTGGAGTCATGATCTCAGGGTCCTGGGATAGAGCCCCACATAGGGCTCTCTGCTTAGCAGGGAGCATGCTTCCCCCCCCCACCCCCACCCCCACCTCTCTGCCTACTTGTGATCTCTATCGAATAAATAAATAAAATACTTTTAAAAAAATTAAAAAAATTCTTGATGCCATTTCTCCTTTACAGAAGTTTCTCTGATCAAAGTAATATATACTTAACATACAGCATTTGATAATACAGAAAAGTATAAAACATAAAAATCCTCATGCTTCATCTCACAACCCAGAGCTTGCCTCTCACTATTTTGACCATTACATTCAATGAATGTAGGGCAAAAATGAGTAGCTTAAGTTGCACACAGTGGATGTGCACTGTATCTCTGCTGAATGAATGCATGAATGCTGAATGAGAACTTGGAGAACAGCCCACAAGTCTTGCTGATAGAATTAATTACAAAGATCATACGGTCATTTGTCCTCTCAAGTTTGCCTTATTCTTCTCACATAACAGGAACTTGGCCAGGATGCAACCAACTTTCTACTATTTGGCAATGGAGCACTCCGGAAAGATGGTCACTGTCCTTACTTCATTCCTTTCACAAATTCGTTCAACAAATACTAAGTGCCCACTGCGGGCCTGGAATACAGAGGGGCAATAAATCAACATGGCTTCTGCCCTCTTGATGCTTACAGTCCAAAGAAGACAAAACAGATAGTAAACATAAACACAAAAATAAATGTGTATATATGTAAATTGTCATTAAATGTAGAAAAGAAAGAGAATAGGTGGCTGGGGGAATATAAACAGGGCTGTGGTCTGATTCAGGAGAGGTCAGGGAAATCTCTGATGGAGTAACACCTCAGAAGGTAAAGGAGAACAAAAGGGCAGGTTCTGGGGAGGTCGAAATTGAAGTGGCTGTGGCCTAAGAATAATGAAGGAAAAAATGTTGGGAGAAAAGACTGTTGCAGAGGTAGACAGATCCTGCAAGGCCTTTTAAGTTATAGAGTTTGAATTTTATTTAATGTGTGTGTGTATACACACACACACACACACACACACACATATACACATATATTTGTAATTTAATTTACACTTATCTTTTACATGGTAAAATCCAGGATTCGAAACAAAATGTTCTGGACACCTGCGTGATTCAGTTGGTTGGGCCTTGATTTCCTCAGAGGTCACGATCTCAAGGTCTGTGAGATTCAGTCCCAGAGCAGCTGGCGCTGGGGGTGGAGTTCCCTTAAGATTTTCTTTCTCTCGGGGCGCCTGGGGGGCTCAGTGGGTTAAAGCCTCTGTCTTCGGCTGAGGTCATGGTCCCAGTGTCCTGGGATCGAGCCCCACATCGGGCTCTCTGCTCATCAGGGAACCTGCCTCCTCCTCTCTCTCTCTGCCTACTTGTGATCTCTGTCAAATAAATAAATAAAATTGGGAAAAAAAAAAAAAAGATTTTCTTTCTCTCAAAAAAAAAAAATTTTCTTTTTCTCCCTCTGCCTCTCCCCCTTTCTAAAAACAACGATGACAAAAACAAAAACAAAAACATACAAAGCATAAAAGATCCAAGACCTTTTGAAAGAAAATTCCCGCTCCCACCAGTTTCCTAGGTACCCAGTCCCACCGTGCCCCCCCCCCCCCCCCCGCCTCCCCCCCCCCCGCAACCTCCTCAGCCCCCCCCCCCAACCCTGCCCCCAGGGCTTTCTAAATTGCAGCTCGGCGTGGCTCCCACGCTCTTTCTCACGCTGTGCTCCTGGCAAGCACTTGGTGCGCCCACAGCTCCCGGCACTGAACCCTGAAGTTCCGCACCCAGCCCACGTGTGCGCCAGTGTTTCAAAGCGAGAAGGCAGAAGATGGAAGGTACGCCAAGGCGGGAAGACGGGCTCTGAGCTCCCAGCGACCGAGGCCGGTGGGAGGGTGGCTAAGGCTGGGGCGGGGCTAAGGCTGGGGGCTGGACCAAGCTTGAGGGCGGAGCCGACGGCTCGGGTCGGCCGCTGTGCTCTCCGGAGCTCCCCGGCTGCTGAGATTCCGTCGGAGACCCGGGCCACCCAAGGGCCCGGTGGGCGCTCGCCGGTTCAGGGCTCTGTAAAGCCCCGAAGGTAAATCCGCCTAGGAGCCGGGCGGCTCGACCGAGAGGGGGCCAACGACCTGGCTGGGCAGCTGGATGGCGGCGGAGGGGAGCGTCGTGCGGCGGCAAGTTTCTCCAAAAAGCTGAACTCGTCGCAAAGTTTCCTGTGCATCAGCTTGCACCCTGCGTACTGGTGGCGGGCTTTTTCCGTGCGGGTGGTCTTTGGGCGCTGGAGGGACGCGGAGGTAATTGGATTATTCCGCCTGGTCACAGCCCAGATTTCTCTCACGGACCGCGCATTGCGGTGAGCGCAGATTTTGCCCTAGCAGGGGTGGGTAGTCGACACGCAGTTGTGTCGCGCACAGCAGTCGGGTGACCGCCAGGCTTGGAGCGCGCGCGTCTGCAAGGCGTGCCTGCTTGTCCCGAGGCAAAGTTCCATGATTTCTTTCCTCTTTAGGCAACTGGGTGCTGTTCCTTCCCGGGCTGACCTCGGAGTCTCCGCTATGGACAGCGAGAGTGAAGTGGATTTTTCTAGCAACAGCTTAACCCCTTTGTGGCGGAGGCGGTCAACTCCTCAGCCTCAGTTGCTGGGCCGGAGCAAGCCGAGGCCCCAATCCTACCAGAGCCCCAGCGGGTTGCTGATCACGGATTTCCCCGTGGAGGACCGAGGGACGCTCCCCGCCATGCAGGCTCCCACCCAGGTACCCACCGCTTCGGAGGGCAGGACGGTCCAGGGGAACCCGCTGCTTCTGTGTGCCCATACGAAGGTGGTGATCTCCCCGGAATATAGATCTGTCTCTCCTCGGCTGCGACGGCCCAAGTCTCCCCGGGCTCCCAAAGCAGTGTCAGGGGTCCCCTCGAAATCCCCAGCGAATGGCACTGTGACCTCGCCCCTACCGCAGCCTGTGCGCCCCCAGCGGACTACCAAGTCGCCCCCCTGCTGCAGCTGGGAGGTAGACCTGACCGCATCGACTACGAGCCCCCTGCCTTCGCCCGCTGCAAATGGGCTTTTCCCTAAAATCGACACCCCAGGCTCTGGTTCGCGATCTGGCCAGGCAACTAAGGACCCTGAGCCAGAACCCACGAAACTCTCTCCTGCGCCCCAGAAAAGTTCTTTGGAACACAAACTCCCCCTCCAAAGGCTGCCCTCACAGGAGAACGAGCTTCCAGAGAATCCTTCAGTGGTTTTGAGCACAAACAGCCCCGCCGCCCTCAAAGTGGGGAAGCAGCAAATCATTCCGAAGAGCCTGGCCTCGGAAATTAAAGTAAGTAAGTCCAACAGTCAGAATGTGGAGCCCCACAGGAGACTCCTCAAGGTGCGCAGCATGGTGGAGGGCCTCGGAGCGTCTCTGGGCCCCTCAGAGGATGAGGGAGACGTGGAGAACGACGTGGACAGCCCAGGGTCTCTGCGGCGAGGCTTGCGATCCACATCCTATCGCAGGGCGGTGGTCAGTGGCTTTGATTTTGATAGTCCTACCACTTCAAAGAAGAAGAACAGAATGTCCCAGCCTGTTCTGAAAGCGGTGATGGAAGACAAGGAGAAGTTCTCCAGTCTGGGAAGGATAAAGGTAAGAGTGGGCAGGAGTGTCGCTCGCGAAGCCAGGCGTTCACCAAGCCGAAAGCGAAGGTGTTGGGGGTGGGGAGGAGGGGCACGGAGGAAACTAGAAGTTATTGTTCTCTTTTAATTCTCTTGTTGATCAGACCTGTACACGTCTGTCTCTTGGCCATGCTGTTTCTGGCAGTCACAGCCAGGTTAATGCAACTTTGTGGGAGGAAGTAAAAGTCTTATCACGGTTTTAACTTTTTAATCTCAGGCAAAATGTGGAGGCCTACCTAATGTGAAAAAGAAATGCAGCGAATTAGGTATGGGCTGAATCCTGAACACTTTTAATACAGGAAACTGAACAGAGGGTGGAGAGCAGGCATGGTACTTTTGACTGTACCGTCAACTGTCTGGAGCTGGTCTAGAGGTGTCAGGGGTTGCTGATTCATCACGGGTGATACAGGAAACTCATTTCTTTTGAGCATGTTGATTATTTTAGTTACTGGAAGTAATTGATTTATGTTAATTAGAATGACTTTTTGAGTGGTGATAACGTACTAAATACCATTCAGGTAAAATGTGAACTTAAAAAATGATTGTCAGAATTACAGAAGATACAAATAGTTTGTCATCTTTGTTGTTGCTTCTTTCTGTCACCACGGTCTGTGGTTGTATTTTATTCCCATGTTGTGCCCATTTATTGTTGAACTTGAGTGCAGCTAACTAGTTAGTAGCTCAGAACTTAAGGTTCGAGTGAACTGGTGTGTATTGCTCCCTGATAAAGGCCTGGGAGTTGCATGTGTTAAAATATTGCCAAACTTGACCTAAAGAGATAGAGGAAAACTAAAGAATGATATTTTGGAGTGTGTATGTGCTGCTTTCTCTGCGAAGAAGGCAGATCTCAGCAGAAATTCGTTTTGGCAGCCACAACTTTTCTTGATTAATCAGAGAATTGGAACCAGTTATATGAATGTCAATATGTAATATACAAGGAAGGCTATTTTATTTTTGATGTCATGGCCTTAAAGAAATTACATAACATTTTAGGTGTGTCCCCCCCACCCCAACTCTACAAGTATAGCAAAGTTCAATTTAACAGTGATGGTGAATCTTGAGTAGTGAAATGAGCTGAACTACTGGTCATCTCAGGGTTCTCAAGCTCTTTTGCTGGGGTTGGGGGACATTGTACATTTTATTTCACCATTTTATTGGATTATGGTAGTCAGATAAGTGAACTACTCGAGGGATCATCTGCTGTCTGCTTTTGGAAATCTAATGAATGTAACAACAAGAAGTAATACTTTTTCTTAAAATAGCTGTATTTTCTATTTGGCTCATTCATACATAGTTTGCTTTGCTTTTTCCTTTTTTGCTTTTCTTGTTTCTTAGAAAAAAATGCTGAAAGGACAAGGAACATTTGATGGGGAAGGTAAGCATTTGATTTTCCAGACTTTTATTGCTGTTTCAATGTGGAATATCAATTATAAGTTGAAATCCAGCTGCAGTAACAAAAACACTTAAGATGAGAAAAATGTCCAACTTCTTCCCAAATTGTAAAGCGCAAAGCTCTGCACTGAGCTTAATTTTCATCCAGTAATACCAGCAGTGAATGGAATTAATAACATTTTTTGTAAGTTGATGAATTTGTCAGCCAATGTCCTGGATTTTTAATTCTTATCTACTCTGGCTCTAGCCTCACCTCCCTCGAAAAAATGGAGACAGAGTAAGAGCTAGTCCAGCTTTTTAGTTAAAGATCCTGAGTTTGGGGCACCTGGGTGGCTTAGTTGGTTAAGTGACTGCCTTCAGCTCAAGGCATGATCCTGGAGTCCTGGGATTGAGTCCTGCATTGGGGTCCCGGCTCCATGGGGAGTCTGCTTCTCTCTCTGACCTTCTCCCTTCTCATGTTCTCTCTCTCTCTTTCAAATAAATAAATAATATCTTAAAAAAAAAAATCCTGAGTTTGACATTTAGATCTTAAGTCTTACTTCCTTTGACTTAATATTCTTTTCCCCATATTTCCACATTTTAGTGTTACTTCTGACTTCCTGTTTGCTTATCAAGTTTTAATTTTGGGGAAATCTAACTCTCCTGGCTGCTAGAAATATATTCCTAACAATCTGTAATCCGTATAGAAAAGCTTCTTTGGCCAGGTGTTCAAACCCTAATCAGATTAGCGGACTTTGGTAAACAGATGGGTCAAATGTCCACCAACTGGAAGGGCACAAAGTGAGTGAGGAGCCCCACCTGCAGCCTTGCAGGTCTGGGGAGCATGGTGAAGGTGAAGGTAGTTCCTTGCTGTCATATTTTGAAATGTTAAGATTTTTTCTAACCTTTGAAGAGTCATGAAGAAGAGTATACCTCTCTGTCAGTAAATCTAATGTAAAATCACCCAGAGTTATAAAATACATAATCTTAGGTGATTATAAACTATTTCCCTATACATTTCTTATAAAAATCAGCTCCCTTAGAGGATTGCGACATGACCAGTTTAAAAAAAAAAGTTTTCATTGCACGAATCTTAGGAAACTGCTCTGTAGGGAGAAGAAACCCAGATACAGTATTTTAGCTGGTTTAGACAAATTCATCTCCCTGGTTTTATAGTTGAGGAAACTGAGAGCTCAGAGAGGTTTAGTGCCTTGCCCACTGTCACACTGCGGTAGTAGGACAGATAACTGGTTTTTAGTCCAATTGGCTTCCTCTTGTACCACTTTGTGATCATCAAGTGAACAGAGCGTCTACCTAATACGTATTTAGAGATGTTTTGCATCTTCTTGAATATGACATTAGTTTTGGGACCTCTGTCTCAAAGGGTTAGATATTGTTGCGCTTTTTTTTTTTAAAGATTTTATTTACTTATTTGACAGACAGAGATCACAAGTAGGCAGAGAGGCAGGCAGAGAGGAGGGCTGAGCAGAGAGCCCGATGCGGGGCTCGATCCCAGGACCCTGAGATCACGACCCGAGCCGAAGGCAGAGGTTTTAACCCACTGAGCCACCCAGGCGCCCCGCACTTTTTTTTTTTTAAGTCAGAGGACACAACTTTTTTATAGTTCTATGTTGTTTTCCTTTTATATGGAGCTTTTCTATGCGTTCACTTGTGTCTTCTCAAATATGATGACCTGGAAATTGCTCTTACATACATGTACGTGAGGAATACAGAATTCTTACAGATAATGGCTAACAAGACTGTAAGTCAGGATGAGGTGCAGGAGAGTGGTAAGAACCTGTCATGGTGTAGTCAGGGACCTTGGTTCCTCTCCTACTGCTTCTGTTCATCAGTTGAGTGACTCTGAGCAAGCATGGTAACCTCACCAAGCCTTAGTTCCATCAGGTATGAGAACTCTTACTGCCTTTGTTATGATGTTATGCTGAGAACGAATGAGGAATCTTATCAACTGTATGCATATGTTTTGTGTCAGCCTCTAAGTACTTTAAAGAGCACTAGAGACGTGGTAACCCAGTCTTTACCCTCACCATCAGTTTCACATGTGTAAGACAATCCGAGAACAGGAAAATCTTGCATTGAGTCCAGTATTATTTTAGTCACGGTGCCTACAGAACATGTAGCAGTTGCTGGAGAGGGGGCAGACGTTTGCCAGCTCTGGTAGATGGGAAGGGCAAGGCAAGCTCAGTGTGTCCCAAACCAAATTCAGTCTTTCCCTCTGCCCGCTGAATCTTTTCGGGTGTTGCCATCTCCTCCTGTGCTGTTGTTGGGCCCCAAGGACCTAGGAAACATCTTGATCACCTCCCTTTCTCTGCCCCGCATCTCCAGCCCATCCCCAGGAACCCAGGTGATCATTCTCCCATAGCATCCTAATTAGTCTCCTACACAGTCAGTATTTTCTCCAACAATAGAATCCAGTTTTTCCTTTCAGTGGATTTACACTGCCATCAGGATAAAATGCAGTCTTTGCAGTGTGAAAGAAATTCAGTCGTTTTGGATGTGGGATAAAAATCTAGTTCTTTAACATTTCCTGCAAACCTCTGCATGATTTAGACTGTCTGGCTCATCTCCCTAAACTCACCTTATACCTTTGCCCACTAGACACCCATGCTCTACACGTGGACTTTTCCTTTTTTCTTTTAAGGTATTACGTTTCTTCTTGCCTCAGGGCTTTTTTTATATGCTTTCTCCTTACCTCTGTGACTTCTCATCTGTCATCTTAGATTTTTTCCTTAGTAACACTGTCTGACCCCCCAGACTGGGTCATGCCCTGCTGAGAGACTCTTGTTCTCAGAGCACCTGTATATAAATTATTCAGCTTGTAGGTAGGTTTATGTACAAGATTATTGTGTCCTCAACCCAACAGTGACTTGCCTTCTTACTTGGAGTGAAAACCAGAGTCCTTTAGTGGCATGGAAGCAAGGGCCTGCATGATCTGCCTCCTATTCATCCTCAGCCCCCCTTCCTAAGCTTTCTCCCTTTCCTTCCCCCATTTCAGCCGTACAGCCTTCCGTGCTGGTCTTTGTACATGTAGATGTACAAAACAGACTCCTGTTCTGGGACCTTTGTACTTGCTCTTCCCTCTGATGTTCTGTTCTTTCGCTGGCTGTAAGGTGGCTTGCTTTCTCACCTTTTTTAGGTCATTGCTTAAATGTCATCTTGGTGAGGCCTCCCTAAGCCACCCTATTTAAAAAATACATAGCCCCTTTGTAACACTCCCTTCCTTTCCGTGTTTTATTTTTCTCCATGACACTTACCTGCATCTGACATACCCGAAGAGTTACTTATTTATTGTCATTCTCTGCTCACTTTGATGTCCACTCTATGAAGATCGAGATTTTCATCTTTTTTGTTCATCGTTGTATCCCTGTTGCTCAGCAGTTGTTGGCATCTAGTAGGCCTTTTCCAGATATCAGTTGAATGAACAAATGACTGAGTGACTTGGACTATTTTCTCTTCCTATTTTTAGCTCGTGAAGGCACAGGAAGTGTCTTTTATTTTCCATTTACTCCCAGCTCTTGGCACATTGTAGATATATAATACATGTTTGTTAAATAGGTAAATGAATGGTGATGGACTTTGAAGGAAAAGAAGGAAATAAATTCAGTTTACCCACCCCCCCCTGCCAAAAAAACCCCAGTGATTTAATAGGCCTGGCTATCCTCCAAGAGGGATGGACAGAGATGTGGAAACTTTGCTTCAGTGGGTATTTTATGCATGGATCCTTCCCCTTCCTGTGCATGAATTTGGGACAGAGCTGTGCGAGTGAGAAAATCACTTTTTGGTAATTTTTCTTCTGTGACAAAATCCATTTGCTTCTTTGTTGTTTATTAAACTAGAGACCAAACACTTTATAAATCTGGATGTTTGTTTAGAACAAGTAGCATAATGATGGGGGCCATTAGTGACATGTAGGGTTTGTGTTTCTTGCAGAAAATGCTGTCCTGTATCAGAACTACAAAGAAAAGGCTCTTGACATTGACTCCGATGAAGAGTTGGAGCCCAAAGAACAGAAGTCAGATGAAAAGATTGTGATTCACCACAAGCCGCTGAGGTCCACGTGGAGCCAGCTGTCTGCGGTAAGTGTTTACCTTTTTCTTCCCGCTCTGTGGCCCTGAAAAAACCAAGTTGTGGAAATTAGGTTTGGGTTTGGTTTTGATTTTTTCTGCCAATGATCCTGTAACCTGAAAGAGAAAGGCTCTTCTTTCTAGATTGTGAGATGTTTCTTGAAACCCTCAGACACTAGCGAGAATGTTGATTTTGGTACTTCTGATCAAGAAAATTAGGTTTTGAGAAAATAAGGTATCTTGACAATGATACCCTCTACTCTGGAAGCTTTTCCTGCTTGATGTCTCCTCTTTTTTTTTTAATATAGTGTGTGTATGCAGAGGTGACTTAATCTATCCTGAACTTTATCATAATTATGACTATATATATAAATATATGTGTGTATATCTATGCACAGTAGGGAGTTTATGACAGTTCTTCCTTGGAAACTTCATTTTATTTAGACACTTTTATATGTTCCTGCAGCTGATTAATGAGTGGCAGTCTGTTTCCTTTCCCTCTGTGCATCTTTTGTGTGAGTGTGTCTGACACTTATGTTGTATTGATGAGTAATTTCTCCTCTCTGCATCAAACATCTTTTGTTTATAGCTATAATTTCTCTTCCTCCTGGCTTAACAAATGTCACAGTGTGCTGCTTAGTTTACTTGATATGAGTTTGAGCTCAGTATCTGTGGGCCTCTGATGCATTACCAAGTAGAAAGGAATTCCCATGGCTGGCTTGGGTGGTGGGAGCATTGCATTGAAAACAAGCCAGTACACCACTGTGAGTCCCTTAGGCAACACGGGAGCAGAAGCTATTCCCTCTTAAGCTGAAATGGGCATTGTTCAGAGTCTGGAATCTCATGTGTTCAGGGGACACGCTGACCTACGAAAAGGAGTTGTGTACGTTGGAGCTCATAAACAGGCCATGGGAATGGATGTATAGTGATGATGGGAATGACTTCGGTCACGTTCTTCCTTCTTTCTTCTAGTCTGTTTTGGAATTCAGAATTCTAGAAACCGAGCCCTTTCTCTCTGTCTCCCTCCCAACCTCTAATTCTGCTCTAAGGAGAATTTATTTCCAGTGCCTCCAAGGTGCGGCACCCTTAATATGTGCCATGGGCTAAAATGCCTACAAGGGCAGGGCAAGCAGCATTAAGGGGAGGCTAGTGAGTGTGGAGGTTGAGGCCTGTGGGGATTATGGTGAACAGCCCTGACATAACCTCAGTCGCCGCCACTTAGCTCACACCAGCCCAGTGTTGCTGGTGTTCCTTCTGACATTTAGGAAATCTTCCTTCTGACATTTAGGAAAGAGAACGCAGCAATCCAGAGTTTTATGAGTATTATCCCAATTCAAGTGTTAGAGAAATGATGTGTAAGGCCAACAAAGTATCTATGGGCCAGTCTTGTCTCCTTTGCTGATAGTTTGGAACTTCTAGGATATTTCTGTGATTTTTGCCTGTGCTCAGGTGATAATACCTACTCACAGAACTGACATTTGGTAACCTTATACCCTAATTCAGTGATTTCATGATATTCTATCCCAAAGTGCACATGTGGAGAAACTGGTGACAAGGCCCATGGAGGCCATGTTGGCTCTAAATGGCTGTCATTCCATTCTGGTGTGGACCGTTTGGTAGAGGACCCTTGAAAAGAAAGCTGTGGATTTTTTTGAGTTCTTCCTCCGTGGTAACAGCTGCATTTGTTAGCCCAGGCCTGAATCTTGCCACTGTTCTCTGAACGCTGAACAGTGATGTGTACTGATATGTCACACTCTGATCCTACCTATTCTGAGTGCTGAAAAGCAAGCTGCCATACTTAGGCCTCCTAAAGTTTGGCTTTCAGCTAGATTAACAAATGCACATTAAAATAATACAACACATCCTTCCGCACAACTGCCAATATGGACATGCATTTCATTTGGCCAAGGATACGTCTACCCATGTGCCTTTTGTTAACAAGATTTCTATCAAAAGACTGGTGACAAAATGTAAAACTATAAAGTGGGTTCTAACTTCAGTGTGTGTTATCTTGGGTTTTAGTGCTTCCAGGAGGCTTGTGTGTATTTACTGTGTTGCTTGGCAATTACATTTAATCAAAGCAACGTTGGACTTTGCCACCTCCCATTCTTAGACTCCAGCCCATGTTTTCTTTGTGCATTTTGTGTCTCCTTTTCACATTTAAAATATTTTACTTTTTTTTTTTAATTATAAAGTATTTCAAACATGCAGAAAAACTTAAAAATGAGTATGTGTAAGAGATTTCTGGGTACCTGCCACCCACATTGAACAAATGCTAACATTTTAACATATTTACTGAGGATCTCTCTTTTTTTGGGCAGATCCAGTTCACCACCCTCCTCTCCAGTACTTTTCTCCTTTCTGCCATCCCCAAATAATCACTGTCCTGAAGTTCTCTTCTGTACTTCCCACATGGGTTTTCTCTCCACTAAAAAATTACAGACAGCTCTGGCTTTTAGGAAAGTGGATATTTCAATGAAAAAGTGGTCATTTCTTTTTCAGAAACCTCGCAGTTGTTAGGTCCAAGTTGCCATTAGGATCCTAAAGAAAGGAAGCTTTTGTGAATTATGAGCATAGTCAGGATGTCTCCGTAGGGATCAGCACCTCCATTTCTCTGTCTGACCTCATGCCCCAATCCTTCCTTGTAGATGGGCCACAGGGGTTAGTGTGGGTCTCAGAAACATCTGCCTTTCCCATGCTTACCTTTAATGTGCCAGATTGACACGGTAGCCCCCATCTCATCATGCATATATCACTTTAATACAAAATTCTTTTTTGAGTATGGCCTTGATCCCAGAAAGAGAGTAGGGTGGGTGGTTTTCTGTGTGTGAGGGTTTGCATGAGCACATATGTGCATTAGCTGTTGTTGGTTGTTTTATTGTCTTAAAATCTCTTTGTTGCAAACACCTGCCTGCCTCTTGGGATGATGAAACTTTGCTTATCAGCTGATGGTAAGAAGAATTCAGTATGCAAAAGGCTCTTGAGGGGTGCAGCAGTTGTTGCATAGGTCTTCAAGCCTTCAGTCTATAGTATAATGTTTTAGTGTGCTTGTCTCTATGTCTCCTTTGGTTCCGTTGGACAATCACACAGGTGACAGGTGCCCCCCGACTCCCCCTTAACATTAAACCTTAGTAGGACAGGTTTGTTTTTTTATTTTATTTTTTATTAAAAAATTTTTTTCTTTTAAATTTATTTGAGAGAGAGTAAGAGAGAGTATGAGAGGGGAGAAGATCGGAGGGAGAAGCAGGCTCCCCATGGAGCTGGGAGCCCAATGGGGGACTCAGTCCTGGGATCATGACCTGAGCAGAAGGCGGTCGCTTAACCAACTGAGCCATCCAGGTGCCCTAGCAGGACAGGTTTAACTGTAGTGTTGTGATTATCTAACAATAAGGGAGAATTAGAACTGTGTAAGAAACATTTAATTGTTCCTCAATAGAAGGGAAAATCTAGCTGCCCAGACTTCTTGAGTCAGATTAAAGTAAGCAAATGCAGTTGTACTTAGCAATGGCGCCTCTGCCAACGGGTTCTCCATGCAGCGGTGGCTATTCTCCTGTAGTCAGAAATACAACCTGGGCTCCTTAGTCTCATAAGAGGGTGACAGGTTTACTTTTCATTCCCTTGATCATAGAAGGAGGTAGAACTCTTCGAGTATATACAAAGTAGGTAGGTAGGTGTAGGATGTCTTCATTCCAGGAATTATAACTTTGTGCTACTTTTCAGGCCTGGGAGAACACTGATATATGAGAAATAATTTAAAATCATTATGGTTCGTGGATTTGAGGCTTTGAAATTGGAAAGTCATTTCTGATTTCTAGAGATCTGTGCCCAGAGACCCAGAACCTGCCACACACAGGTCAGGTGCCCAGTGACTCACCTAAAATGGCAGCATGAGGATGAAGCCAGTAGTTCTCGGACCTCTGGGAAGAGCTTGTGGGTTTGAAGAAAAACATCGATATTATTAGTTGGGGATAGAATAGCAAGTCCTTGGTACGGTGACTGCCAGGTACCTGTTGAGTCCTGGATACAAAGAGAGATTTAGGATTTCCCTACAGTTCATCCTTTAATGGGATTCTGGAAACATTTGCAGAATTACAGAAAATAAAGGATAAATCTTGACTGGAGTCTTTCTGTTTTTCCTCCTAACCACGCCTCCCTGCCCTGAGCTCACATACTGTGCATGTCCTGAAAAATGATGGTTGTGAAACCAGTGTTTGTTTTTTCAAGATCAGTGACAGCACTGAAGCCACACTCACCAGCCATGCCCTGACCCCATTTATTTGCCATGGGGTGTGTTTGTGTAATTTCCATCACCTTGACATGCCAGGTACCTTTGAAAAGGGTGTTTAGGCTCTAGAGGCAAAAACAAGCACGGAGGCAAACTTCCCGCTGGAATTCAGCACCTAATATAGTCATCTTCTGCTCTCCTCTTCCTTTGCACTTGCTGATGGGGGGTTTATCAGTCATCTTCAGTAATTTTGATCTCTTCAGTTTGTTCAGAAATGTTAAACTCTCTAGTTAGGAACCAGTTTTTCCATTTTCCTCAGAGTATTCCTTCAGCTGTGCAGAGTGGAGCTAATGGTTTAACGGGAGGTCTGATGTCAGGACCTCAGTCTCTGAGTCCTGGCTCTGCTCTTCAAGCTCACATCGTTTGCCTCTGGATGACTTTCTGAACTGCCAGGTGAGGAAAGATGATTTGAAAAATGGTGATTTTGTATAATTCCATCCAGTTGACTATATAACAGACACCTTGGTGACTTAGCAGTTTGATCTGATGGGACTTACCCTTCCAGAATTTACACCATGTTTATTGTGAAAGGTCTGTTTTCTACTAAAAACTAGAGCTCAACGGATGTAATAAACCTGAATATCAGGGTGCCTGGGTGGCTCAGTGGGTTAAAGCCTCCGCCTTTGGCTCAGGTCATGATCCCAAGGTCCTGGGATCGAGCCCTGCATCTGGCTCTCTGCTCAGCATGGAGCCTGCTTCCTCCTCTCTCTGCCTGCCTCTCTGCCTA